GAGGCAGGCCGAGGCTGAGGCTGTGACTGCGACCGCCGTTGCCGCTGCGACTGTCATCGCGAATGCGACTACGACTGCGAGAACAGCAGAATTCGACAACTGGATTTTCATCTGAATCTTAAGGGGAATGCTTTCAGATATGCTTCTACACATCGCTGTTAGGTTGCTTTGCCGGGATAATTTTTGAGGGCGAATCCCTAAAATTGCCATCGCCTTTTGGCGTGTCAATCTTAGGGATAGGGATACGCTCGAGGCCGGTAAGTTTCCCGGCGACGGGAGCTGGACATCGGCTCCGAGACGATTTTCCCAGCGCGCGTGCTCGGGCGCGGTCGCCCGCTGCCCATTGGGAGTGGACGCTCGGGACTTTTCGCGCCGAGGCCCTCTGGGCCGGGGCCGGCGCCGTCTTCGAGTGATGCCGGTGCGCGGAGCTTTGCCGCATCTGGAAAGAGAGTTTCTCTTTCGCCGCATCTGGACATGCGCAGCCGCCATCGAGCCGCGTCTTGCAGTCGCCGGCCAGAAATAGCCGAGTGAACCGGGTGGCTTCGCTGACGATAGGAACCTGCTGTCTGCTGTCGCCCGCGAGGGGCCGCCGCGCCCGCGGTGGGCGCGCGCCCCCGCCCCCTGTCCGGCAGGGCCGCGGAAACCGCGCGCTTCGGCGAGCCTCTTCCTGGCCCGCGCTTTATGAGCAGTGGGAAGCCGACCCCAGCCCCCACGACTATTGATTTTAGATGTCCACGTTTGCAATTGCGGCGTAGGCGCGTAAGCGTAGGCGCCCTGCAGCGAGGCCATGGCCGTGCACTAGGTCTAAAGTTCCTCGCGTTGGGCCGTCCTGGGCGCCCCTGGGGCAGTCTTGGAGCCCTCTTGGGCCATCAGGGGGCCCGTTTGGTGGCCTCGTGGGCCGTTTTAGGGTAGTCTTGGGGGCCTCTCGGGCCGTCAGGGAGCGTCGGGAACTCGCACAGGTCAGGACCCCCAAACACGTTGAAAAACCAAAGCGCAGTCAATGCTTTGGCCTCTCGGGGCCCGCCTGGGAAGGCTCTCGGAGGCCTCTCGGGGCGCCTCGGGCGCTCTTCCGGCCGACCGGAGACCCTCTTGAGCGCCTTGGGCCGCTTGTGCGGCGATCCGGGGCCCTCTTGGGCCGTCTTGGGGGCCTCTGCAGGCCCTCTTGGCCCGTCCTCGGGATCCTCTGCGGCCCGAGAAGTCCTGCGAGGAGACGCCCCGAGCCCCGGGGGCCACGCGACGCGCCCCGGGGGCCACGCGAAGGGCCCCGGGTAAGTGGGCGATGTCGGGCCCGGGCCTCTGAACATCCACTGGGTTGACGGCTGCGGCTCCAGGGGATCCAGCAAGGGGTTTGAGGACACTCCAGCTCGTGTTTGAAGGGCGCAGTGGCGGATCACCGCACATGTGTGTGTGTGTTGTGTGCATGCGTATATGTCTGTGCATGCGCATCGGTATATGCATATGTATGTGTGCATATAACACGCATGAATATATACATGTCTATGCAGGGGTAAGTACATTCGTGTAGGTAGATGTAATTGTGTATACGCGTGTGCATATGTGAATGTATATATGTATGTGTACGTGCATGTCCATGTGCAAGTACTTGTGTATGTATGTGTAACTATAGATGTGTATGTCGATATGCACGTGTATTCTTATGTACACATACACACACATACATACATATATATATATACATACATACATATATATATATATATATATGAATATGCATATGCGCATATTTACGTTTATGTGTATTTACATGTATACGTATATGTTGATGTATGTGTATATGCATGTGTACATGTGTATGGTCTGGGTGTGCTCTACATCTATATATATGTATATATAACCCGATGTGCACATGCGTATGCATACTACTATGTATATGTATGTGCAAATGTATGTGCATGTGTATATGTACTGGTATACATATGTGTCTGGATCGATGTGCATGTGGATAGGCACATGCATGTAGATATGTAAATGTATATGTATATGTGAGTGTCTGCCTATGCACATTTACATATGTATGTCTATGTGTGTGCACATGTACGTGTATATGTGTATGTTTATATTCATGTGCATGCGTAGGTACATGGATATGTATTTGTGTATTGTATGTGTATATACCCGTATACGTATATGTAGGTGTATAAGTATATGTGTAGGTACATGCATATGCATACGTGTATGTGCATGTGTATGTATATGCATGTGTATAGGTCCATGTACATGCCTATGTAAAGTACACGTAGATGTAAATGTATGTGTGTATTCATATGTATACATATACTACGTGTAGCCATAGTCACTCTGGTCCTCGTGCCCCTTGCCCCCTTCTTCTCGTGCTGCTCTTCGTCGCCGTCGTCGTGGTGGCCGTCTCCGTCGCCGTCGTAGTCGTCGCCGTCGTCGTCCTCACCGTCGTCGTCGTCGTCGTCGTTGTCGTCGTCGTTGTCGTCGTCGTCGTCGCCGTCCACCTCGTAGTCCTCGCCGTCTTCCTCCTGCTTTTTCTCGTTGTGTTGTCCTCCTCCTCGCAGGCATCCGTCCTCCTGCTTTTCCTTGCAGCCCTGCTTGCCCTCATCTCCGTCATCCTCTCCCTCCTTCTGTGCTCGCATGGGCAGACGGTCCGAGGCTCGCACCTGATTTCCCGACGGGCTGCCCTGAGCATTCCACCATCTTTCGCGTGCCTTGCTGGGCCAGATTGTTTCTTGCCACGCGCTGCCCAATGCGCCCGTTTCCCCCAATGCTGCCCAATACCGCTACCATTCGCCCGTTTTCCCTTATTTCGGCCTCCTCGGAGGCCCTCGCTGCCACCGCTGGATTTGCTTCGAAATCCTGGTCAGAACGCACCCCGAGGTCCGGGGAGTAGCGGTATCGGTACCTCTTGGTTTCCCAGATTAGGCATGGCGTCCTGGCCATCAGTGGCGACCAGCTTATAGCTTACTCCACACCCACAGAGCCTGCCAACCGAGCCGCCAGCGAGATCAGCGGCCTGGTGTCGTCCTCAGGGTCTTGCCTTGACGTCCGCCCGCTCCCCATCCCCCTCTTTGAAGGCGGCGCCAGAGTTCGGAACTGCGGAGTGCGGCGCGAGGTGCCTGGACGGCGAGCACTGGTGCGGCTGCGATCCTGCAGCGTCCGACGTCGAGATATTCGCCTGCACTGGCGGGGAGCTGGGGGTCCCTGAAGCAAACGGGTCCTGACCGAAAGCGGGAAGTGCGGTTCTCCGCCGTTGTCGCGCTCCCCGGGCCCGTGGAGGAGGACACGGCGATTGAGGATGAAACGCTGGCCCCGTCGGGCAACCCTGTGGTCCAGGGACCCGTCTCCCACTGTGGGAGTCCCACATGACCCCAGTCGGCGCATCAGCGATGAATGGGCGGTTGAGGGTCGATGCGCCCCATTGGAGCCAATGCCCCCTGATATTGCCCCTGGCGCTCGGCTCAGAACTCGATAGGCTCTCTGGCGGCCGCTCGGGACGATTCGGGCACCCCCGGAACACCCTCGGCCGCAGCCGTTGGGGCGCGTCTTGAGGCTTGCCGCTTATTTCGGCGGCGAGCGAGGGGGGGAGGTGAGAAGGAGAAGGCTTTCTCAGAAGGCGGCGGGACTTCTGAGAAGCCCTCGCGCCTTCTGAGAAATTTTGTCTGTCTTCGAGGACGGCTCAGAAAACTTCTCAGAAGGCCGGGGGGCTTACGAACCTTCTGAGAAGGCCTTGTTCTTCTCATTTCCCCCCCCCGCTCGCCGACGATACTGGCCGATTCACTCTGTTACTCATTCCCCCTGCTCTCACCCTCCAACCTGCCTCAAGTTCTCAGTTCCTCCCCTCCGCCACCCCTCCTCTTCCCTCTGTCCCCCCTCAGTCTATGGGGAACGAGGGGAGGTAATTGGGGCTCGGATTCCCTATAGGAGAGGCGGTTCGCCGTCTACGCCCTGTCCGACAAGAACGGCTCCCGCGCCGTGGCCGCACACGAAAGAGCGGTCTGTGAGGGGCTGTGAACGACCACCGCCGCGACCTCCGCAAACCCCCAACCAAAGCAACAGCCCATAGCGTTGTTCCCCAGTCTGGTGATTGACTCATGTCCATCGTGCGCGTGCACACGTATACACACGTGTGCACTGTTATGTTCTCCACGCCAAGATTGCCCGTCTCAGAGGGTCCAATATTTTATCATGGACTCGGGTATGGCCAGGACGCTCCGTCGAACTTCTGCACAATGTTGTATTGCTTGGGCGCAAGGAGTTCCGCAATTCCGCCGCATCAGATACGGGCCCGACCGCTTTACTACTTAAAAATCCATGTGCAGCATGCGGGGAGCCCGAACATGTCTCCGAGGCCGGCACGATGGCAGCGCCCATGCTACGAGAGAGGCCCGGGGCGGAGAGCGTCCATGTCGAATGCGCAGAGTTGCCTGTTGGGGGACGTGACCACGGGCACCATGGTGTCGTTAGGATCGCCGTGAGGGGGGCCACTCTGGAAAGAGAAGCCGGGAGCCCCCCTGCGCCCCACGGGGCAGCGCGTGACGGCGCTGTCCGCGACACCTCGCCCACCACCGCTTGCCCGGCGCTCGTGCCCGAAACTCGACGGGCGCAGGCGTGTCACTCGACGTTCGCGGGCGATGCTTCTCCCCCAATCCCCGGGTTTCGCCCGAAGAGTTTGGCCGCTCAGAAGCATGGGAAAGCCCTGGGGCACACACGCCCCGAGGGGGCTCGTCGGACGCACCCCCTTCTCGAGGATGGACCCCCCCCCCGCATCGTGTATCCCAAGGTTGGGCCCCAAATTTCTGGTCCATCCGGGAGCCCCACGAGGCCTGGGATCTCCTCCTCCTCCTCCTCCTCCTCCTCCTCCTCCCTCCTCCTCCTCCTCCTCCTCCTCCTCCTCCTCCTCCTCCTCCTCCTCCTCCTCCTCCTCCTCCTCGTGCCTTTCCCAAGAGCAAAATGTTCGACCTCCCCGGGGAGGGGCTCGGGGTGGAGAGGGGGGGAGCCTGGCATCGCTCGGACGTGTGCATTTTTCCTTCGGCGAGGACCATCGAGGAGCATCCTGGACCATCGAGCAGAAAAAACACGCACGAAACCGACAAATGAACGCGAACTGGACGTCCGAGCGATGGCCAGGGCGTGCCCTGTTCGTTCCGTCTTTCGCGTCGGTTGGCGTCGACCAGCGCGTGGGAGTCTCGAGGGGGTAGCGCCGATCTAGCGTCGGCCAGCACCGAGCCGCGTCGATCTGGCGTCGACTTCGCGTCGACGAGCGTCGATTCGCACGAGCGGACAAGATGGCAGTCAGGAGGGAGAGAAACACACAGACACAATTAATCGTCGATTCCCCCCAAAAATATTGGAAAATGTGGGGAGCGGGGGGGAAGACAAAAACCCAGAAAATATGAGAACATGTGGGGCATCCTGTTATTTGTGTCTATTTATTGGTGTGTCCTGGGGCCCCTTCAGACATGGGAGGCTCCCAGGAGTTGCCGCCGAAAGACAGGGCTGGAAGCGGCGTGGGACAGGTGCCCGCCCGAGACTTCTTTTCGCCTCCTGCTCCGTGCTCTTCGCGACGCTCGGCGTGGGCCTCCCCGGCAGGGCTCGATCGAGACGGCGTTTCGGCGACCTCGTGGGCCGTTTTCGCCCTGAACGAGAACAGGATACCACGGTTTGTGATTCCAGCTCTGCCCCCTTTTTTTGGGAGGCGCTTCGTCGAACAGGAGGGCCACGGTAGCGAGGCCCTGGCAGCAAGAATGGGCCGGTGTAAGGATGCCCGTGTCCTGCGCAGCTTTGCAGCCCGCCGGGCTTGTGTGTAGATGTCCGCGTTCGTGCCCGCCCTGAGTGTCAGTTTTTTTCTCTTATTTTTTAATATGTATGTTTTTATATTTTTTATCAATATATATATATATATATATAAGATTGAAGCTCTGTCCCCAGGTCTGGCACCTGGGCGCGGACGAGGACGGCACGCCGCTGCTGGAGGTGCACGCGCCGCCCGGCCAGGAGCGCCGCGCCCTGGGGCCCGGCAGGGCGGCGTTCCGGCAGAGCGGCCCCCCGGTCCGTGGCTTTCTCTCGGCCCCGAACGTCAGCGGCGAGCGGGGGGGGAAGTCAGAAGGAGAAGGCCTTCTCAGAAGGCGGCGGGACTTCTCAGAAGCCTTCGCGCCTTCTGAGAAGTTTGTTCTGTCGTCGGGGAAGACTTCGAAAACTTCTCAGAAGGCCAGGGGACTTCCGAAACCTCCGAGAAGGCCCGCCCCTTCTCGCTTCCACCCCTCGCTCGCCGCCCAGAACGTGGTTCGGATGCCGGCCCCAGGCGTGGCTTCGAAGGCGCCCTGCTCCATCCCGGGTTACAAGGAGAAGAAGCGCCATGAGCAGAAACCTTCGGCGCTCCGCGCGGGTTTCTTGGATCCGCGCTGGGGGCCCCCCTGGCGGCGCCTCGGGCGCGGCCCCTGGCAAGAGGCCCGAGCGGAGCGCCAAAAGTTTACGTTTCTGTAGCCTGTTCTTCTTCTGATCCCAGGTGTGGCTCCGATGAAGACACGTGTATTGCTTTTTACGTCCAGGGGGGCGGGCTCGAGTTGTTGGCGGGAGCGCGAAGCGCATCTCCCTCCCTTCCGGGCCCCTCGGCTGCGCGTCGGGGCGACCCTTCTGATTCGGCGCCCGCAGGGGTCCCCCCGAGCACTGGCCTGCGCGCATGGCTTTCGCCCCCCCCCGCGGCCACCCAAAGCTGCGCGCCAAGGGTCACTCTTGCCCAACTTGCTTACAGCCACTGGAGGTGGGGGACCCTCTCCTTTTCCTCCTCCTCCTCTTTCTCCTCCCTCCTCCTCCCTCCTCCTCCTCCTCCTCCTCCTCCTCCTCCTCCTCCTCCTCCTCCTCCTCCTCCTCCTCCTCCTCCTCCTCCTCCTCCTCTGTTTTGTCCTTGGGGCTCCTGGGGGCGGGCCTCAAACAACCGCACACCTCCTGGCCGAACAAAAAACAGTTCGTCAATCCTCCTCCCGAACAGGCTTGCCTGTGTAGGGACCCCTACTGTTGAGGAGACGTTCCAAGTATCGTCGCCGACTCTTGTGGGCCGCGACTCCTTTCATTAGAGGGCCCTCGCAGTCTCGCAGCAGCTTCTGGGCTCGAGACTCTGCGAAGGCCCCACAAACAACACACACGGCGTAGCCCACCCTCTAGACCACCTCATGTCGCCGCGGGGGGGTGGGGACGCCGAGCTCGGGATCGCTTCGGCCTCTCCGACCTCGGCTCCCGAAACAAACCTGGACCTGTTTGGACCGCTCCCGTGGATCGGGGCCCTTGAAACCAGGCGGGCCCCGCCTCTGGCCAAAGCGCCCTCCCAACCGGGGCAACATTCCTTGCGAGCCGCCGCCAGCCGACTGGGAGGGAGGACGGTGCGAGGGCAGGCCGTACGTTTCCAGGTGCCAACTTCGAAGGGCCTGAGCCTGCGGATCCGCCCGGGAGCGACCGCGGGACGGGGGCCCCGCACCCTTTTCCGAGCTCGTCCAGCGGTGGGAGGAGGCAGGCTCGTGGTGGCAACCTTGGACTCTGACAGCTTCACGCGAAAGGAGGCCACAAAACTCACAATCCGATGCATGAGTTTCAAGTCAGCCTTAACCTGGTCAACTCGCCATTGCGGTGCTGCATGCTCCTCAGCGCCTTGTCTCGCGCGGGAGTCAGCACACTTATTCATCAGGAACGACACTAGAGCTTCCCCCTCTATGTGAGCTCTCTGCGCGACGGTTTGGTGAGACTTTATCTTGACAATCTGGAGGTTCACCCCAGGCACGAGCCCATGGTCCTCCAAGGCAGCCCAAACCCTGCGCCACAGATGGGCGGTTATCTGGCCGCTCCTCTCCTCCTCCTCCTCCTCCTCCTCCTCCTCCTCCTCCTCCTCCTCCTCCTCCTCCTCCTCCTCCTCCTCCTCCCTCCTTCGCTTCGCACCCCTTCGCTTCGCACCCCTCCCAGAGCGATCCCTCGACGCCCCCGAGGAGCTGAGGCAGGAGGCGGGCCGCCTCTTCGTCGTGCCGGCCTCTGCCGACGCGCCCGAGGCGCCCGTCCCCGCGGGAGAGGGCGATGCCAAGGCCCGGCGGGGCTGTCAGAGGGTCACCTTCATCGGGGCTCAAGAGAAGAGACGGGGGTCAAAGCAAACGGGGGTCAGCCAGAGCGCCGGATCTTGCAGGATCCTGCAGGGCCAGGGTCGCACTGACCCAGGTTTGGGTGCAGGATCCTGCAGGATCTTGCAGGATCCTTCGCATTGACCCGGGTTTGGGTGCAGGATCTTGCAGGATTCTGTAAGGCCTGGTTGACCCGGGTAAGAAGATTTCCGATAGCCTTAAGTCGGGCATGTCCCTCTACAGGAGGAAACTTCAACAATAGCCCCAAAAAGTCTGGAAACGTGTCCTGGTCTATTCTTGACTATGTCTGATTGTTTTGCGAGTGCTTTTCAGTTTTCCTCCCAAATCCGCCTGCAGGAGGACCTGCCCGACCTAAGGGTGACCACAGTAGGCGCGCAGAGGAAGCAACTGGCCTGCCAGCAGGTGCCTCACAGAAGTCTGCCTCGGGCAGGCCCAGGGTGAGGATAAACCGCTCCAGCGTTCAGAGCTCTCCGGAAGGCTCTCAGAGCGTTCCGGGATGCTCTGGAACGGCCGCGGCGACCGGTACATTTGTCAGACCCGCCAGTTTTCAGAGATTCCCGATTTTTCCTTATCCGCGTTTGTCCTCGTCCTGCCTTCGTCTTATTCCCATCCCTCGACGGCCCTGGGGACCCGCAGAAGCCCTGGGACAGGCCCGACTGGGATCGGTGATGTGACCAGTTGATGCCCCCCGGATCTCGTGAGAGGCGGTCGGCGGCGAGGGTTCGCCGCCCGCACCCGCACCTGGGAGCTTGGGCGTGCCCCTGGACCTCTCCGAGGAGGCCTGCGACGTTTCGCCGGACAAGAGCGCTATGAGATGCCGCCTGCCAGAGAACCACGTCAAGGAGGTGTCTGTCCGCTACACCAACGACGAGCTGTGATTGGCGGCTCTCCAAGTGTGCTTCCGCGTCGTTTTCCATGTCTTTCCCACATCGTCACGTAGCAGGTGTGACGTTACAGAGGGAAACGTAGCACTGACTAGGCTTATCATGGCGAGGCTCGCCTGCGAGGGTGCCGAAGTCGTTAGACCTTCCGCATCCCCGATCTCGAGGGCGTCCCACAAAGCATCATCATCGGCATCTCAGGTTTCGGCAGCAGCGGCAGAACAAAGGGAGCAGTGTGCTCTCTGTACCGCCATCGAGGTCAGCATCACCACCACCATTGCCGCAACCCTCATCATCACCACCATCACCATCATCAGCATCACCACCATCATCATCACCATCATCATCACCATCACCATCACCATCACCATCACCATCATCATCATCATCATCATCATCATCATCATCATCATCAGCATCATCAGCAGCATCGTCATCTGCATCTGCATCAGCATCATCATCAGCATCAGCATCACTATCACCATCATCATCACCACCTTGACGGCCAGCACAACCCTCGCCACGTAGTACTGTCAAATCACCGCCGTCGGCAGTGCTGCCGAGCGGATCTTGGCGGCGCGCCTTCAAGGGCGTAGCGCGAGGAGGGCGGCCTCCCAAGAAGACGGGAGAGATTCTAGGAGGGCAGGGGACTTCTTGTACAGTGGGGGCCCATGCCAAGAAATTCCCTGCTTGCCTCCAGAGTGCCCTGGGTTTTTGGGTGCCTCCACTGTAAGCCCTCCCGGCTTCTATGAAGCCCCTGCCTGTTGTGACGCTCACTGGTATGCTTGACAGCTTTTGGGGTGCAAAGGGCGCGAGGGTGACCGCTTTGTTCGCCCCGTCTCCCTGCTCCAGCCTCCTTCCCCCTCCTTCTCTCGCCCCATGGAGCGCTCTGGACCCTCAGGGGGCAAAGCGGCAATCATGCCCTGCGTTTTTCGCAGCGCGGGCGCCAGCGTGTCTAGCTCCCTCTAAACTATTTCTGTGTGTCCTGCTGGGTCGCAGCTGGCCTGCCTGAATCCAGCAAGCGGCCTTCATGTTGTTTCTTCCCCGTGCTGTTTCGCCTTGGTTTCTTCTGTCTCGATCGGGCCAGCGAGTCTCTAGCGACCATCCCGAGGATTGGCTCGCTTGACGACTCCTCGTGTTTCGCTTCATCGGGGGTGTACGCGACCGTTCGGGATCTAGGATTGACAGTTGCTCCCAAGAAAGAGGACTGCAAGCAGTCTTGCACCTCCCCGATCACGGCAGCAGCTCTCCATCGCAGGACGGGTGATCTGCCATCAGGGCCATGCTTGCCGCAGAGTCTCCCGCTCCCCGCCGGGCCCAGGCACACCAAGAGCGGGGAGCTAGCCTGCAATACCGTCGCTGCGCGTGCGGTGCCCAATGTTCGGGCTCGGTCGCTGTGCTTCTCGGCTTGCGCGTGGCAATTCGATCGGCCCGTGGCCCGGACCTTTCGACTCGGCGCCTGCGCGTCCGCTCGCGCCCGCGAGGAAAAAAGTGCGGTGCCCACGTGCACTGGACCATGGGAGGAGGCAGACAAGCCTCTCCATGATGATGGACCTTGCGCGGATGCGGGCCACCGGCACGCTAGCAGCGCTGGCGGAGACCCAGGCCGCCCAAACAGGGGCAGCGCAGGTGTGGGATCCGAGGATCGCGCCCCATCGCCAAAGCATCGGCGATGCGGCGCGACCCAGCGCCAACCTTTCTCCACCCCGACGTCCCCGATGCGTCGCCGATGCGTCCGCGATCCTCTGGCCCACCTGCTCCGACCCCCTTTGTGGGGCGTTCAGGCAGGCTGGCTGTTAGAAGTTGCTTGCGCCGCTGGCGGCTACGCCGACGCCCAGCCCTTGGTTCCGGCACTGATGCGTGACGTGCATGAGGCCCCGCCACCCGTTTCGGCATACACCTCACACGCTTCGTGGCCCCATGGGGAGCTCCACCCAAGGCTGAAATGGTGCCGCCCGCATGCGATCCCGCCGCCCGTTTCGGCATACACGTCACACGCTTCGTGGCCGCAAAGGGAGCTTCACCCACGGCCCATATGGTGCCGCCCGCATGCGCCCCCGCCACCCATTTCGGCACACCCCATCACACGCTTCGTGGCCACATAGGGAGCCCCACCAAAGGCCGAAATGGTGCCGTCCGCATGCGTCCCAGCCACACATGTCAGCACACCACTCGCGCGTTTCGTGGCTCCATGGGGACCTCCACCCAATGCCCACATGGCGCTGCCCGCATGCGTCCCCGCCACCCATGTCGGGCGGGACACCCCTCGCGCGCTTCGTGGCCCCATAGGGAGCCTCACCCAAGGCCCAAAAACTGCCGCCCGCATGCACCCCCGCAACCCATTTCGGCACACCCCTCACACGTTTCGTGGCCCCATAGGGAGCCCCACCCAAGGCGCCAATGGCGCCGCCCGCAGGCGTCCCCGCCACCGATTTCGGCACACCCCTCATGCGTTTCGTGGCCCCACTGTGGGAGCTCCAACCAAGGCCCCACGCGGTGCCGTCCGCATGCGTCCCCGCCACCCATCTCGGCACAGCCTTCGCACGTTTCGCGGCCCCACAAGGAGCTTCACCGAAGGCTTAGGCACATCCCTCACACGTTTAGTGCCCCCGTGGGGAGCGCTACTGGAAGGCTCCAGTGGCAACGCGTGCATGCGGTTCCCCACCCATTTTGGCACACCGCTCACACGGTTCGTGACTCCACCCAATGTCCCAGTGCCACCGTTCGCAGGCGTCCCCCTCCACCCTCACATGTTTCCCACGTTTCGTGGCCCCACAGGCAGCTCCACCCAACGCCCTATGAGGAGATCCAGTGAAGGCGATATTCACAAAGATGGTACTCACAACTGCATGTGGTTGGGTCCTTCGCCAGGATATTTGATATTTCTTATTTTGGCGCCCCAGATCCCCCCTGAAACCCCCTATACCTCTCCCCTGGGCCAGGGAACTCCCCCCCGGGGCTTTCCAGGAGGATTTCGGGAAACTGCCACACTGGTCTCGGGTTCTGGGTTCCTGGTCCTGGCCCCGGCCAGCCTGCAGGCTGAGCTCGATCGCTGGTCAGCTCCGCAGCTCTCAGCAGCATTCCAGGCTAACGGGTTCCGGCTCTGGATGGCTTGCAGGCTCAGCTCGATGGCGGCGCCACCTCTCGGCCGCATCGGGTTCCCACTTCCAGGCTCTGGAGTGGACCGATCCACAGATGCCCGGGCTCCTGGTTCCGGGTTCTGGCTCCGGCCAGCCTGAAGGCTCAGCATCGATCGCAGCGCCGGCCCTCAGCAGCATTCCGGGTTCCGGGCTCCAGGCTTTTTCGGGTAACCGGGTTCCGGATTGGACTTCCCGTTCCGGGTTCCAGGTTCCGGCTTCGGCCGGTTTGCAGGCTGCGCTGGCTCTCAGCAGCATTCCAGGCCAACGGGTTCTAGGGAGAGGAGTCGACGGCCGCATCTTGGGGTTCTGGGCCCTGGAACTGCCCGGGGGGATGCGTGTCTGGGGGGCGACCCCCCACCCCCCGGGACCCATCCCCGGGGACTCCCCACCCCGGACCCACTCACCGAGACCCCCCTCCCCTGTCGGGGAAGGGATCCAAGGGAAAGCGTTTCCCTTCGACTCAGCTATACGACGTTGCTCAATGTCGCCTTGGCTGGCGTGGTGAACGAGGCAGGGCCCAGCGAAAGGAGACGATGGGCGACGGAGACGGCGAGTGACAGAGACGACGAGGATACGACGGAGGCGGAGGCGACGACGGAGAACGGAAACGACACGATGACGACGACGACGACGACGACGACGACGACGACGACGACGACGGCGACGACGACGACGACGACGACGACGACGACGACGACGACGACGACGACGACGACGGTGACCAACGGAAGAGCGTCTTCCACACGCCGATAGGGTCGGCGGATTTAGTACGTGTAGCACGTTCATCGTCATCATCGTCTGCACCACCCTCACCCTCAGACGCAATAACAATTCGCTGTATCTTGGTGCGAGTCTTTTTGATCTGCTCATCGTAATCCTTACGATTCTCGACGCGATGCGGGCTGCGATGGAGGCTTTCCTCCATTCGCTGCTTCTTGCTGGCGCCGTTTGCGAGGCGATGGTGGTCACGCCTGACATCACGCCCATGGCCCTGAGCGCCGAGCAGCATGCAAGCCGCAGGAGTCGCGCAGGCCTTGAAGTGAAGCGCAAGAGCAACCACTCGGGCCAGGAGGAGTGGCCGTGGAGCAGGCGGTCTGAGGCACGTGAGGCGTTCCCAACAAGGCCTTGCCTTCGAGGATCGAAGGAGTTGCCATCACTTCCGCCGCAGAAGGCGGCGGAAGGTCGGCGGAAGTGAAACGAGGCCGCGTCCGCCGGCGGAAGCCGGCGAAAGCTCGGCGGAAGGCGGCGGAAGTGAAAGATGTGCCCCCAAGAGATGATGACCAACGTTTTTGGGTGCCGGGTTTCCGGAATCGGCCACGTGGTGAGCGTGCTGGGCCCTGCCCAGTCGAGAGCCGATCGGCCGAGGGGCAGCCAGGCGGACCCTGGCCGGGCCATCGAAGGCAGTCAAGAAACGCGCGTACTTGTAGATGGTGGCCGCGCTTCGGTTCGGAAGGTGTTTGAGGCTTGACTGTCTCTTGGCCCTTTGGCCCTCGGCGGGGCGGGGCGAGTAATGAGCAAGGCACGCAACCACACCAATGACGAGAGGAGCAAGGCGCGCCACGAGCACAAGGCGGCTGCTTCTGTTCAGGCCTCCGAGCCTCAGCCGGCGCCAGACGCTGCTGCCAAGGACCCCGAGCCAAAGCCGACTCCGTACGCCGCAAAGGTCTCTGAGCCCATGCCGAGTGCAGGGGACACCACTGGGCGACCTACGCGCGCCGGCTGCTGGATGAAGATGCTGTCCGGGTGCCCGAAGATGCCGATGAAGACTCGAGCCCGGGGGTGCGAAGCTGCCAGGGGAGGGGTGGGCTGGGCCCAGGGGGGAGGGGTGGGGGACGAGGGTGCGCCCGAGCGTGGCACCCCTCGGACTCAGATCCCCGCCTCAACCCGGGGAGGAGGAGAAGGCTGGACGAAAGGGTAGGATAGGGAAGGGGGGGGGTGCGAAGTCTGCTGCGTGCAGCTGGTTTCCGCAAAGAGGCCGGGTCCATTTCTAGATGCATGGGCGCTGCCTCCTGGCGCCAGGAGGCGCCAGGAAAACCAGCTGCGTGAGCTGATCGATCGTCCACCCTGCCCTTTGCTATCCTTACCCTTCCCCCTCCCCCCGAGAGGAGGAGGCCCCTCTCCTCCTCTTCCTCCTCCTCCTCCTCCTCCTCCTCCTCCTCCTCCTCCTCCTCCTCCTCCTCCTGCCCCTCCCCCTATCGCTCCGAGGACGCAGACGTGGAGGCGCGACACGTGGGCGGAGCAGCGGGGCCTCGGCGAGGGGCACTGCCTCCGCCGCAAGCGCACGTGGGACAAGCGAGCCGGGCTCGTCCTAATCTTCAGTCGGGCCTGTCCCTCTACAGGAGGGAAGCTCAAGAGTGGTCAAAAAATAGTATGGGGACACTTTTGGACTATGTTTGACAATGTTGGATTCTTTCTTGGACTATGGGTAAGTTGTCCTCCAAAGTCCTCCTGTAGGGGGACATGCCCGACCTACTTCGAATCCTTTTTTTTTCGAGGAATCGAGAACAAACGCCATAAACATAAGCTGTTGGTGCTCTGCGCGGATCGCTTGGATCCGCGTTGGGGCCCCTTGGCGGCGCCTCCCGCGCCGCCCCTGGCGCGCTCCGCGCGCCAGGGAGGGGAGTCCATTGTGGGGGCAACCCGGGTCTGATATTTGAAACTTACACCATTACACCATTTTGAAAAGTGGTGTACGCATGCACCCTTACACCGTTACACCATTCGGCGGAATGGTGTAACGGCGCGCCCTTACACCATTACACCGTTACATCATATACACCATTACACCATTTACAACATGTATACCATGTACAACATTTACACCATTTTGAAAATGGTGTGCGCTCTGCACCGTTACACCTTTACACCATTCCAGGGAACAGCTTCAGATCCACACCGTTACACCATTACACCATTCGGGGCGTGGATTTACACCATTACACCAGCTACACCATTTACACCATCACACTATTACACCATAGCCCCTTACACTTGTAAGCCAGCGAGGCGGCGGCGCAGGGGTGTAATGGTGCAGCGGTGCAGCAGTGGCGTAGTGGTCTTATGGTGTAAGGTGTAATGGTGTAGAGGTGTCATGGTTTCATGCATTCCCCCCCCCCCCCCCCAAGGATTCTTAGGGGGGGGGGTCCCAGAGGGCCCTTTTGGAGCCCTCTTCGGCTGCCTCCGGGCTTTCTCGGGGTTCGCCAAATGCATGTCCAAACCCCCCCCCTAAGGATCCTTAGGGGGGGGGGGGGTCCCAGAGGGCCGTTTTGGACCCCACGTCAGCCGCTTCCAGGCGACGAGGGGTCGTGGTCGGGCGTCGTCGTGGTGAGCTCGACGTCGTCGGGCGCCGAGAGCGCCCCAGAGCTTTCGACCCCTTCCCTCCGAGGCCCCGAGGCCGCCAACGGCCTCCCGAGGCCCTTTTCGCCGCCGGGTCGTCGTCGTCGGCGGAGGACGAGGAGGAGGAGGAGGACGAGGAGGAGGAGGAGGAGGAGGAGGAGGAGGAGGAGGAGGGGGAGGACGACGAGGAGGACGAGGAAGAGGAGGAGGAGGAGGAGGAGGATGAGGATGAGGAGGAGGAGGAGGAGGAGGAGTATGACGGCACTCTCAGTGGAGTATGACGGGCTTCCTTGGGGGTCGCGAAATGTATTTCTTTAACCCCCCCCCCCAAGGATCCTTAGGGGTGGGTTTTCCAGAGAGTCCTCTTGGAGCCCCCCGTCGGCCGTCTCTGAACTTCCTCTGGATCGCCGAATGCGTTTTCTCCCCCCCTCCCTTACGAATCCTTACGCAAAATGACCCAAACTGTTGCGCCGAAAGGGCGATACGTAGCGTGATGGTGTAATTGTGTAATGGTGTGAACCTCATGCCGTTCCGCGAAAAGGTGTCATGGTGTAGTGGTGCAAAGCCCGCATCATTCAACACAACGGTGTAAGTGGTGTAAACATGTAACTGGTGTAAACGGTGTAATGGTGTGATGGTGGAGGAGGAGGATGAGGAGGAGGACCAGTTCAAACCTAAGACTCATCAGTGATGTTGAAGTATACCCTCTCTGTCCAAATTCCCTTTCACAGGCCCCTAGAAGAGCTCCTTCCCATTGGGGGAAGTGCTCATTTGGGGACAACCGTGTGAAAATCCTGGAACGTGCCAAAACACCAGTCTCAGGACTTCAACACCACGAGTGAACCTGATTGTTGTGTCTTGACGATTCTGAGTCGTGCTAGAACCCAAGTCCTGGGACTTTTAAACCGAGAATCAGCGTAACTGCTGCATCCTGACAATTTCGACTCGCTCCGGAACACCTTCTCTGGTACGTTAGCCATGAGAATCCGTGAAATTATTGCAAATATTTGAAACGAATGTGTGCGGAGCTAGTAGTCCGTGAGACTCTTGCACATGTTCGAAACGAATGCGCGCGGCGCTCAGGCGAGAGCCACATGTTGAATACGACCCGCCCTCAATCCGTGAAGCTCTTCTGTTTTTGAAGACGAGCGTGCGCGGCGTCAAGGCAAGAGCTCCACTGGCTGCTCACGACCCCTCTCGGTCCGGTTCGATCCCCAGACTTTGATTCCGACATCGATCCGATCCGGCACGAACGGCTCCCTCTCTGGCCTGCTGGGGCCGATCCCGATCTGCGATCCCAGACGATCCGCTCGCGATCCGGTTCCGCGAGGATTCGGGCGCGGTCCAGTTCCTTGCCGACACGGTCCGATTCGGCGATTCGACCCAGCTCAGGCCGGCTTTCCAGTTCGCGCAGGGTGCTTCAAGGTGTCAGAGGGTTATCACGATGCCTCCAGGGGCTTCCAAAATGCTCTAGCGGGCTTTAGCGGGCTCCGGCTGAGCCTCCTTGGGCGTCCCAGGAGCTCCCGGTCTGTTTTCTTCTAGGATTGTTTTTGTTCCTCAGTTGTTTTTTCCTTGGTTTGTTTTTGTTCCTTGGTTAGGAGGGGTCTCGCAGGGGCTCTCAACAATTTCCTGAGAGCCTGCATGAAGTGAGACTTCCCAGGGAGGCTATCGCAGGATGTCAACGTGGGTCTGACTATTTGAACCCCTTTCCTGCAATGCCGTGCCCGATGCCATATGGGGAGTCTCTCTGCCGCCACCCGCTCATTCTGTCGCCCCTCTCGCGGACTTTGCACCCCAGGCGCGCTTCACATAATTACTGCCAGGGAGGGCTGAATGTTGGCCGACAGCTTACGTCGTGCAAGTTGTTTCCGGCTGTTAGTGCCTGTCATGTGCCCCTGGCGTGCGTGTCTGTCGCGTGCTGTGCAGTGGGAGATCCACGCTGACGCTGTTCAATTTTTGGGGCTGGGCTTTCCGCCTGGAAACCCATCTTGAGGCCTGCGTGAGCTGACGCCCAGGTACTGCGAGGCGGATGACGCCGAAATGCTGTACATCTCCAACGTGTCCGCCAAGGATTGGGACAAAACGCCAAACGCGAGCAACATAAAAGGTTTTCGGTAGCCCGTGGACCTCCTCCTCCTCCTCCTCCTCCTCTTCCTCCTCCTCTTCCTTTGCCCTCGCCCTTTTCCTCGCCTCCTCCCGCGCAGCGCAGCGCAGCGTGCAGGCCCGCCGCCCCGCCCTCCCGCCCGCCACGCGGCGGTCCCCTTCGGCGATCGCCACGTCCTACTCTTCGGAACTTCGGTCTCCCAGCGGCGCGCCTGCAGACTCGAGAGGCTCGCTCGCTCGCCTCTCGCCTCCTCCTCGCCCTCTCTGCCCCTCTGCCCCCTCCCTCCCCCCTCCCCCTTCTCCCCTCTCCCCCCTGGTCGGCGCCAGCGGCGAGCGGCGACTTGGTTTGTTCATCCTTCTCCGCCCCTCTGCCCCCTCCTCCCCCCTCCTTCCCCAATTTCTCCCCTCCCCCCTGGTCGGCGCCAGCGGCGAGCGGCGACTTGGCTTGCTCCTCGGGTCGAGCTTCCTGGGCACAGGGGGGCCGTCGCGCCACGGGGTTGGCCAGCCCAGGGCGCGCCTGTTTCGGCAGGAGAGGCCAGCCGCGCTCCTTCGGCCCGACGCGTCGGAGGCCTGGGCACGCTTCGCAGTCATGTCGAGAACGCGCCCCGGGGAAGGCCCTGGTAGTAGCGTTAAGTCGGGCCTGTCACCGTACAGAGGGATTTTCGACCAAAAAATCAAAAATATCCCCAAAATAATCAAAACATAATCCAACAATAGTCTGGGGACTATTGTTTGAGCATTTTTTGAGCACTTTTTTGTATTTGTGGGGCCTTTTTTATTTTTCGTCGAAGATCCCCCTGTAGGGGGACAGGCCCGACTTAAGAGTAGCAGTATCGATACCTTTTGGCTGTCCCACTCCAGCCCGACGCGCCGGAGGTCTGGGCACGATTGTGTTACCAGCCCTCCGAGGTGGACGTTATCATTGTTTGAAGTTCGTTCGTGCTACCAGTGGCGTTGCCATTTATTAGTCTTCAAATGGTGATGCGCATGTGTACTAACGACAGCGCGCCACTGGATCACCCTGTAATTGAAAAGGGGGGGGTGCTCGCAGAACACCCCCCCCTCCCCCCCTTCAAAGGGAGGGGGAGATTTTCGAATTCCCCCCCCCTTCCCCCCCTTAAGGGGGGGCGTTCGAACCCCCCCGTCCCCCCCCCCCTCCCCCCCTTTGGCGCCGGCCGAACAAGGGGCCGGGGAGGGGGCCTCTCCCGCAAGGGGGGGGGGTCTGGCTTCGGGATAGCGAGTAGAGAGTAGAGAGTATTGAGTACTGATAGTGAGTAGTGAGTAGTGCATAGTGCATAGTGAGTAGTGAGTAGATAGTAGCGAGTAGTGAGGAGTGAGTAGTGATTAGTGAGTAGTGCGCAGTGAGTAGTGAGTAGTGACTAGTGAGTAGTGGGTAGTGGGGACTGGTTAGTGAGTAGTGAGTAGCGAGTGGGGAGTAGCGAGTAGCGAATAGTGAGTAGCGAGTAGGGCATTGTGGGTAGTGAGTAGTGAGGAGGGAGTAGTCCGTAGTGAGTAGTGAGTAGGGAGAAGTGGGTAGCCAGTAGGGAGTAGCGAGTAGTGAGTAGTGAGTCGTGAGTAGTGAATAGTGAGTTGTGAGTAGTGAGAGGTGAGAAGTGGGTAGTGCGTAGTGGGCAGCGCGTAGGGAGTAGCGAGTATAGAGTAGTGAGTAGTGAGTAGTGAGTCGCGACTAGTGAGTAGTGAGAATTGCGAAGTGAGCAGTGGCTTGTGACTAGTGACTAGTGAGTAGGGAGCAGGGATTAGGGAGTAGTGAGTAGTGCGTAGTGGGTGGTGAATATCGCGTATCGGGTAGCGGGTAGCGAGTAGGGAGTAGCGAGTAGTGAGTAGTTAGTAGTGAGCAGTGAGTACTGTGTAGGGAGTAGCGAGTAGCGAGCAGCGGATAGTGAGTAGTGAGTAGTGAGTAGTGAATTGTGAATACTCAGTAGTGAGTAGTGGATAGCGGTTACTGGGTAGCGAGTAGTGATTATTAATGAGTAGTGAGTAGTGAGTAGTGAGTAGTGTTCAGGGAGTAGTGGGTATTGAGTAGTGGGTAGTGAACCGTGAGTAGTGAGTAGTGAGTCGGGAGTAGTGAGTAGTGAGTAGTGAGTAGCGTGTAGTGTGTAGTGAGTAATGGGTACTGGGTAGTGAGTCGTGGGTAGTGAGCAGTGGGTGGTGAGAAGTGGGTAATGAGTTGCGAGTAGTGAGTAGTGGGTAGTGAGTAGTGAATAGTGAGTACTAAGTACTGTTTGGGGCTAAGGTCAGGGATTGGCGTGAGGGTTACGGGTGGCCGGGGTGGTAGTGTTAGGGGTGGTAGGGGTCGGGTGGGTTCCCGAGCCAGGGGGCGCCGTGGCGAAAGTGGGGGAGGGGCGGGGGGGGGCTCGAATTTGGCGGCCAAAGGGGGGGAAACCCCCCCCTTTCGTTTTGAAAGGGGGAGAGGGGGGTCCCCGACGACGGGCCGGGAAAGGGATGG